CGGCCCTTTGCATCAGGCCGGGCCCGAGCTTGCTGCGCACAGCCCTACCCAGGCGCTGAAATCCCGCCGCCTCCGCCGCCTCCGCCTCCCGCTGCCGCTGCTCCTCCTCCTGAATCTCGCGGAGCGACATCATGCTGCACAGGGCAGGCGGCGCAGGCGGCGGGACCTCAGCGCCTGGGCAGGGCTGTGCGCAGCACGCTCGGCCCCGGCTTCATGCAAAGGTACCCATTGCCAGCCTGGCGACAGCGGGGCACAAGCGCCGGCCGCAGGGAGGCCGCCCTGTCGCTTCGCGTGCCGGCGCCCCGCCCACCTCCCGCCGCTGATGTTGCCGCGAGCCTTCTTGGCCCAGCCGCCCATGGGGGCCGCCGCTCCCGGGGGCGCCGCCGCCGCCGCCGCCGCCTCCTCTGCCGCCAGGCGCGCCGCGCGTGCCGCCTCCTCCTCCTGGATCTCCAGCAGAGTCTTGCCTGCAGCGGGAGGGCAGGGGAGCAGAGCAAGGGGCAACCCAGACGGGCAGTCGGCCACCTGGCCGACCAGCACAACGCAGGGCAAGAGCAGGCTGGCCAGCGCCGATAAACGCAGGAGGCAGAGGGGGCACAGCGGCAGCGGCAGCTGCTGCAGCGGCGTCGGCGTCGGCGGCGCACCCGTCTTCTTCTTGGGCGTCGCCCCCGCCCAGGGCGCGGCCTTGGTCTCGGGGCGCGGCCCCTGCGGCTGCTGGGCGGCGGTGCGCGGCGGCGGCGGCGGCGGCGGAAAAACCAGCTGCTCTTCCCCCTCCTCCTCCTCATCTGGATGGTGGTGGTACAGCAGGGCGGCGTGCTGCTGCCGCCGCTGCTCCTCCTCCTCCAGGGCCGCCGCGCGCTGCTGTGCCTCGGCTAGCTGCTGCGCCTCCCGCAGCCGCGCCTCCTGCGCCTGCTGCTCGCGCTGGATGTCCAGAAGCGAGGGACGGGGCGGGGCTGCCGCGGCGGGCGCCGCAGGCTGCTGCCTCATGGCCGGGGCTGGGGCGGCAGCGGGAGCGGGCGGGGGCTGCGGCGCAGGTTGCGGCGCCAGCGCCAGCCCGGGGGTGGCCTCCGTCAGCCACGCCGGCAGCTCGGGCTGCTGCGGCTGCGCCGGCATCTGCGGCCCCAGGGGCACAAACTGCGGCTGCAGGTGGTGGGGCATGGGCGCGGGCGGCAGGTGCTGCGCCTGCAGCGGGTGCGGCTGCCGCGGCAGGAAGGGCTCCTGCTGCGGCAGCAGGCCCATGTGCGGGTGGGCTGGCTGCGGCAGCAGCCCCGCGTGCAGGCGGCCGGAGCCCATGGCATGCAGCTGCGCCAGCGGCCCGCCCAGCGGCAGCGCCTCGCCCAGCGGCAGCGCATGCTGCTGCTGGTGCTGCTGGTGCTGCTGGTGCTGCTGCTGCTGAGCCTGCTGCTGGGCCTGCTGCGCCGCCTGCTGCTGCGCCAGCAGCAGGTGTGCCGAGGCGGAGCGCTTGACCAGGGCGGGGTCGATGATGGGGTCGGAGGGCTCGGGGGCCTGGGGTGCAGCCGCCGCGGCGGCCGCGGCTGCAGGCGCCAGATCCAGGTGGTGCAGCGAGGCCGCCAGCAAGTCTTCGGCCTCCGGCAGCTGCACAGGGGCCCGCTCCGGCTCCGGTTCCGGTTCCGGCGCCGGCTCCGGAGCGGCCGCCGCCGCCTCGGGCTGCGCCGGCGCGGCCGCCGCCACCGCCGCAAAGCCGGGCGGCCCCACCGGCTTGTTCCACGCCCTGAGCAGCGCCGCCAGCGGCCTGAAGGGGGCGTCGGCGGCCTCCCCGGACGCTCGCACCTCCAGCTCTGGAGTGAAGTAGCCGGCATCATACCTGCGGCACAGGGGCGGCTGGGTGTGGGGCTGTTGTTGGAAGGGGGGGATGGCCAGCGGGCAGCGGGCCTCGGCCTCAGCGCACGGCAGCACACCAGCGACGCCTGGCGGGCGCCGCATGCACTCCCGAGGCGCAGCGCCGAGCGGCGTGCTGAGGTGGCGTGCTGACGTGGCGCTGCCACAGCGCACCAGTCGATGATGTCCTGCCGCGCAAAGGGCCCCTGCACCACGCCCTGGGGGTCCTTGTAAACGTACTCCTCCGCGGGTGGCGGAGCAGCCTGCCGCGGCGCGTCCGCGCCCGCCAGCAGCGCGCTGTGCTGCCGCTGCGGGCCGCCCTCCTCGCCGCCGCCTGCCCCTGGGCGCTGCGAGTAGCTGCGCATCATGCTGTAGTGGTCTGCGGGGCGCGGCGGGGGCGGGAGAAGGGTGGCATCCTGGTTGGTGGGTGGGGCTGGATGGCGTGTGCGTGCGGGCGGAGGGGTGGAACGACGGCGCCCAGCCGGCTGGTGGCAGCGCTGCACGCGGCAGGCAGCGCGTGCGTGCAGGCCTGGCTGCCAAGACAAGGCGCCCCATAGCATCCGCCCCGCGCCCGCCCACCCACCCGCAAACGCCTGCGCCACCTCCGCCGGGTCCACCCCCATCAGCTGCTCCACCACATCCACAAACTCCCCCTCCCCCAGGAACAGCAGCGGGTCGTCGCGCTCCACAGCAGCAGGCAGCTTCAGCCTGCGGGCGCAGGGAGCAAGGGGGGAGGTCGGCGGGCGGGTGGGTGGGTGGGTGGGTGTGGGGGGGGGGGTGGGGGGGGGGGCTGTGGTTTGGAGGGGGGGGAAGGGGCGGTGGGGGGGGGGGGGGTGC